GTTTATTTTCAAATTTTGATATTGAGATTATACATATATGTGTTGCATTGCGCTCAATGCCTGTAATTTACTTAAATTTAATTTAAACGTAAAATGAAATAAAATAGTAGTGCGTACATTTGTATTGTTTGAGAGAAAGGCTTTGCAATTTTCTATAATAATTGGTTGAGCCTCAAAGCTAGAAGTTTTAAATGCACAGGCAGCTGCATAAATATTCTGGAGCCACATGATGGAATAATCACTAGTGATATCTAATTAAATATAAGGCTAGTGCAAAATTTAATTGTATTTTATTATAAATTTTTATTAAATAATTAAAAAAAAAACATTATTTGTCATCAAAAAAATTTCTTCAGATGTCTACAACACTGATCTCAAAATAAAGCTGCATAGCGGATTATATTATTTTTTCCAAAAACAGTTGAAGCCAAAACCGGCCTCCCAAGATGGCGGCGGTTTAAGTTCCTAGCGGTGAAAACAATATAGATTTTATATGGCTTTATCAAACTACGATAGAAAATAATTAAATAAGGCTAATAAATTTGTCATAAATAAAAGAAAACAAATGAATTTGATAAATTTTAGAGGAAAAAAAAAGGAAATTATTTTTTGAATAATTCAATTTATTATTAAATGGCATTTACATTTTTAGTTAAGCTTTATGTATAATTTATGTACCTTTTAGTTCTTAGTTCTTAATAACATAACAGCATGGTAAGCAGCATTCATCTCTACCTACAATTTTATATTCTCTATTTTTTGTAGCAAGATACAATTTTGTACAAATGCACCATGAACTATTAACTGAATCAGTATACAGGGGTATACAAACTCAGGGGTTCCTTCTAAAATTGTATTATAGTTCTATTATTGCATAAATTATTTGAATAAAACATTCTAAAGTGTCACTTATGCTGGTAAAAAAAAAACAGGTCTGAATTATAGTTATTTTTATCAACTTTTAAAAAGAATAAAAAGTAAATAATCATTTCTTATAATTTAAAGGATCATCACTCAATAGAATTAAGGTATGTCATGTATGTCACAAATTTTACAAACATCCTCAAATATTGGTTTAAAAAAACAAATTTATCAAATTTTAAATATAGAATTCTTCAAAACACCTCTTTGAAATATCTCATTAACTAAAGTTATATATACTGTTTACATGCTGTTAAGTATTATAGTTATATGTTATAGTTTGTATAAAGGCTAATTTTTTTATATTATTAAACTTTATGTTGCAGTTAAATAATTATATAAATATGTAGTTGAGTTTAATTGCATAAAAATTTGATTTCATCATATGTTAAGGTGGTACTACCCTACACTTTTTATTTTTCAAAATATGATATTTTTCTTAAAATGATAAATATTTTTAGATAGTAGTTTAAAAACATAATAAAAAACATATAAAAAACATAATTTTTTACTTATTTGTCACAAATAAATGCTGAGTCAGCAAAAAAAAAGCAAAAAACATACAGTCACAAGAACAAAAATAATTAGAGTGATACTTGAGATAAAAGCTTTAAATTTTACAAACATATAAGTAAATGGTTGGTGGAAAGCCCCTTGTAGAATTTTTTAAATATACAGAGCCAAAGTAAAATGGCAGATATTGACCTGTAAAAATCATAAAAAGTGATCCGTGGGGTATGTAAAATATTAAATTTTGGTCGAAGTAAATAGTATTATTTGATTATTCTACTACCAGACCTTTCTACAACATCAATGAACAAACAGTGAAAATTGCTAAGTAAAAGAGTAAACAGTTTCTAAGATATCAATGTTCTAGTTAAAAAATATTGGAAAAATATTATTCTGAGAAAAACAGCTTTTACAATAAAAAATATTATGAACTAAAAAAATCTTTAACTAAAAAACATACCAACTGGCCACAAAAATATGATTAACCTCCTTTATTATTTTGTTCTGTGTCAAAATAACCTTTTTACAATACCAATGAAAAAATTGTGAAAATAGGGCAAACATATAAACAGACAGGATTGCTAAGGCCGTTGCTAGGGATTTGAAAGTTACCTTGTTGCCTTTAAATACTAATTTAAGTACTTTATATTAATTTTTAAAGGAAAAAAAAAAGATATACTCGTGATCCAAGATGTTCAAGCTATTATAATTTGAAAAAAAACTTTTTTTTGTTTTTTGATGTTTTTAATAGGGTAGTAACACCTTAAATTCACAAAACCTATTTGCAGCAATGTTCTGTTTTCCATTTCTTGACATGGTATATAACTATATCATAAGTCTTAAAGAGATTAACTGTTACGCAAATGAATTTGTCTAGTCTCAAACTGGTTTCATTGGATATTTCATTGGCAATTAAAATATATATTTCCACTGAGTAGAAAAAGGTTTGTTATAAAAATATTTAACAGATAAGCTCAGTAAAAACTATCTAACAAGTTCTTTATTGTACTGAGATATCTTATTTAGCTGCAAGAACTAAAATTGAATGAACAAAAAAATATGATTTGTTAAAGAGAAAACCAACTATTAGTGACCACAAATATGCAGATATTCCAAAAGCAGTATTCTACCTAAACACAAAAAAGCTTTGATCATATATATTGCCAGATATGTACCTAAAATGGCATCAAAAAAAAAAACCTGGATATATACAGGGCCGGATTAGGAAAGTTTTAGGCCTGGGGCTGTAAGTATAGGAGGGCCTAATGTGGCGGTAAGGTAAAAATGCCGAGCGTTAGCGAGGCTAAACCCGAGGGTCAGTGGGCTGGAGGCTCCCAGCCGGGGGGTTTGTGGGGCCTTAGACCCCCCAAGTAGGAGGGTCAGGGGGAAGCTGCCCCCCAGAAATTTTTTTTTAAGTCTTGCTAATAAAAGGACACAATCTAAGTATGTTTTAGAGCATTTTTTTTATAACTTTTTACCAACTGGTTTGGTACAGCTACACCCCTTTGGCCCAGACACCCATATATATGTAAACTGACAAAAGGTCTTGAATCATGACTTAAGAAAGCAACTGCTGAGCTGTAGGTATATTTACTATTGAGACAGTGGAGTACGTGTATCAAATTGATAATGTGTTCACCTCCAATAAAGGAAGAAAATACCAATAATATTGGTATTTAAATGAAAAAATTAAAAAAATAAAAATTAACAATATTTCATCAAAATTCTTAAGGTATTGTATTATATGTTTATGTTTTATCATGTAAATATTTTTTCTTATGTTTTCCAGAATATAGATCATTGGGCGGTGACAATTTGGCAAAGATCAAACAGAGAAGTGAAGTACATCATGTACTTCACTTCTCTGTTTGACCTTTGCTAAATTGTCACCATGTAATGTTAGACTGTACTAAGGGCATACATGTACTGTACATGTATGCCCCTAGTACAGTCTAACATTACGAAAGCACCTATAACAATATTTATGTTATATTGGAATAGGATAGCAATTAGCAATATAAGCAAACATATATCATTTTTAGTATTGTTGATGGTGTCAAATATTTAGCTGAAGCTAGAATCTTCATATATTTTTCTTTTGAAAGTATAAAAAAAAAACAATTAATATAAATTGTAGCATAATTTATGTACTATTTAGTTAATCAATTAACTTTAAAATAGTTTTTTATATATTGACTTTTCTGGCCCTTTTTGAAGCAAACTTCTTGATCACTACTGTGAAATCTCTTGATCTAACTATGTCACTTTCAATGCATAATAAAGCCAAATCATTTAAGCGAGGTTGTCCCATTGTTGATCTAAGTTCATTTTTAACTCTTTTAAGGACTAAAAAAGATCTTTCTCCAGTACAGTTTGTGACCATAAGAGACAAATAAATTCTCAACACAGTGTAGACATTCACAAAGGTATCGGTCAAACTATTCTTAACTTGAAAGGTGTACATTTGCAGTTCAACACAATCAGTTTGATTGGGCGGTGACAATTTGGCAAACAGAGAAGTGAGGTGAATAAATTCACTATGACAGTTAGGATCAACATCTTCAAAATATGTTTCACATACAAATGAAACATGATCTCTCATACCATCATTGCACAAAGATTGTAGATTTTTAAGAAAACCAAACCTTTTGCTGACTGTATCATATGCATTAGCCCTCTGTTTAAGAGCAACTAACAATTGATCAACTATAGGCAAAAAACACTGATCTTTAAACTTATCAGAAGGGGATAACTCTAGATCTTCTGAGTCACCATAATCCCATCTCTGGTTCCTCTTGCGCTTTCACCGTGATTCACCTTTGTAAGAATCGGTACCCAGATCCTTTCCTTCCTTTTCAAATGCTGTGAACTGGCTCCGAAGAGAATGAACAAAATCACCCATAGAACGAAGCAGTTCCGTAGTGGTATTGAGCTCCATGTCTGCCCCTTGTAAGTACTTGCTAGTTAAATTGAACCTATTCAGAATTTTTGACCACAATTGAACTAGGATACCTGTTTCATGATGACTCATTATATCTTTCAATCCTGCGGCTTCAAGTCGTGTTTCTGGCTTTTGAGACATATCTTGACACATAATATCCAGTGTAGACTTCACTTGCGTATAGCCAACCTGGAGGGAGTGTACAGCATCATAATGTGCTGATCATCTGGTATCAGATAACTTTTTTTAAGGTAGGCATATTAAGTGGCTTTAAAACTGCCATCAAACGATTCCAACGAGAGGTGGAGGCAGAAAAAAATACAAACAGCTTATTTACAAAGTCAAAAAACGTTACAGCCTCAGAACAACATCCTACAGCCATTGACCAACAAGGTTAAGCGAATGAGCACAACATGGTATGTATTCAGCTAAGTTATTATGTTCTTTTATTTTTGCTTGCATGCCATTGAAACGGCCACTCATGTTGGCAGCATTATCGTAGAATTGACCTCGGCAGTCTTTAATTGAAATGCCAGTATTTTCCATAAAATCAAGTAACTTTGTTGCTAATCCTTCCCCAGTGTGCTCTTCTATAGGGATAAATGTCACAAAACGTTCAACTGGTCCTTTAGAAGTTATGTAACGGAGTGTAAGTGGTAAGCTGATCTACATGTGAAAAATCTGGTGTTGAGTCAACACTAACTGCAAAGTATTTTGCTTCTTTAATTTCAGTTAAAATGTGGTCCAAAACGTCACGACTTAACACATGAATAAATTCATCACATATAGTTGATGACAGATATGACACATGACCTCGGCCTTTGTTTGCTCTTTTCTGAATATTTTCTGCAAGCAATGGGTCAAACTCAGCCACTAGCTCTAAGCAACCTAAATAATTTCCATTGTGGACAGAACCCATAATTTCGTTACTGCCACGGAATGACAACCCACGCGATGCTAACATTTTGATTACGGTAAGAATACGCAACAGTATGTCATTCCAGTACTTTTTCTCTGATTCAAATTGCTCTGTGAGCCTCTTACTAATGTGCTCTCCAGCTTTCCTACGTGTTAAAAGGGTTTCAATTGATTGAATGTGGGTTTCACTTGTTTCATGGCGAGCTAAGTCTCTTGCAGCGTGTTTCCAATCATCATATCCTGATGACATCAAAGCAGATGCTCCAATTCCACATTTTGAATTAAATAATTTACAATGGGCGCAGAAAACCTTAGCAGTTGATGGGGAATAGCAAATCCAGTCTCTCTTAATTTTCTCACCATTCACTTTTTCCCGGAAAAAAGGAACTTTGTACACTGTCGTTTAAACTTAAAAGTGTCACCAGGCAGTACTTTAGTAGATAATTTAAAATCGCTATCCATATGTTGGCATGATAAAAACCCATCTGCACTTTTGCTGAAATACTCACGCAGGTCGTCGGTTATAATCCACTTAGCCACATCGGTGTTGACAGTGTGGGTCGTCAGAGCCAGGGGTAACACTGCTGAGATAGTTGAGACGCTTGAACTTGCTGTAGCTGAGTCTGTTGAGACACTATTAGAGTTACCTGGAACTGGTGCTGACATAGTTAGTGAGTTTGAACTCGCTGAACTACCTGGAACTGGTGCTGACATAAATGAGTTTGAACTCGCTATAGCTGAGTCTGCTGAGACACTATTAGAATTACCTGGAACTGGTGCTGACATAAATGAGTTTGAACTCGCTGAACTATCTGGAACTGGTGCAGACATAAATGAGTTTGAACTCGCTGAACTATCTGGAACTGGTGCTGACATAAATGAGTTTGAACTCGCTGAACTATCTGGAACTGGTGCTGACATAAATGAGTTTGAACTCGCTGTAGCTGAGTCTGCAGGGACACTATTAGCACTACCTGGAACTGGTGCTGACATTATTGACATAGTTTGTAAATATGAACTCGCTCTCGCTGTAGCTGATACCGAGACACTACTTGCAGTATTACAAAACTCAGTCATTTTTTTATTTTTGTTCAATAATTCATTTAATTGAATCTCATTCTTCTTCTTTTTTTGCATTTTGTCCCAACCGCTCAGGCCGCTCCTTTTTATTTTTTATTTTAATTTTGTAAACGAATGAGCAATGCTGTAATTTTCTGCGGTAACGGAAGTGATCATAAAATAAAAAATGAAACTTAATCTCTATTCACTTATTTACTAAAAATGAAATTCATTTATAAAAAAAAAAAATTATAATAAATTCATTATAAAAAAAATTTCATTATAAAAAATTCATTATAAAAAATTCATTATAAAAAATTCATTATAAAAAATTCATTATAAAAAATTCATTATAAAAAATTCATTATAAAAAATTCATTATAAATTCTTTATAATGAATTCATATAAATTCTTGTAATGACGAAAGCATAATGTTTAGGTACGCATGCGTAAGAAAATTACTACAAGTTTTGAACTTTTTAAATGGCTGCAGTTTTCAACTAAAGTGAAAATTTTATATGACAACCAATTATTTGTTGTGTATTTCTTATAATATGATGGTGTAGCCTTACTTTCGGCAAGCTGAATAAGCACGAATTTTATAAGTACGAACTGGCATGAATGCGAAGCGTTGCAAAAACTAGTGTAAGTGCGAACTAGCATATGTGCGAATCAGCCACGGTTGTTTACAAGCGCTGTTTAGGTACGCATGCGTGAGAAAATTCAAAAAACTTTTGAACTTTTAAAATGGCTACGGTTCTTAACTACGGAGTATTTTTTATATGGCAACCGCGTTATTTGTTATTTGATTTCTAAAAACTCTATGTTGTAGCCTTATATTTAATGTAGATAAGTATAATAATACAAAAATTTCACAAAAACATAAATAAAAAAAGGATAAAAATTATCTTAGAGCACTTAAACTTTATTTTCAATTAACAAATTTTTTGTGAAAATTATAGATTTGTTTATTTGTTAGAAATCAATTTTCTTCAAATCAGACTGTTATGACTCTATATAAATAAATTTACATATATATATATATATATATATATATATATATATATATATATATATATATATATATATATATATATATATATATATATATATATATATATATATATATATATATATATATATATATATATATATATATATATATATATATATATATATATACATAATTATATATATATATATATTGAAAAACAAACAAACAAAAAAATTCATAACTTATATTAAAAAAATAATTCAGGACAATTGAATTAGTATGATTTATAGTATTTTATTTATTATAAAAATAAATTTGGATTTTTAAATAAGTTTTTTAAGTTTTGCTGTATTAGTACTTTATTGACCGTCATTTTTTTCTAATAAATATATATATATATATATATATATATATATATATATATATATATATATATATATATATATATATATATATATATATATATATATATATATATATATATATATATATATATATATATATATATATATATATATATATATATATATATATATATATATATATATATATATATATATACATAATTATATATATATTGAAAAACAAACAAACAAAAAAATTCATAACTTATATTAAAAAAATAATTCAGGACAATTGAATTAGTATGATTTATAGTATTTTATTTATTATAAAAATAAATTTAGATTTTTAAATAAGTTTTTTAAGTTTTGCTGTATTAGTACTTTATTGACCGTCATTTTTTTCTAATAAATTTCTTATAAATTCTGCGCGTCTTATAGACATACCATCTAGAGGTCTTTAATAAACATTTCAATTAACGAGAAAATTATGAAACAACCCATCTTCAACATTGCGATATTCTACTACATACAGATCAAAATTTTCTAATGGATTTAAATCAGGAGACTGTGCTGGTCAAGACATAAATAATATGAATTTAGATACTAGATATCTTTTATTCAATGATGCTGTGTGTTTGGTATTATTATCTAGTTAAAAGACGTAGTCATTAAAAAAAAAGTTTTTTTATACTTGCTAAAGTTAAATTAACTAAATTTTATACTGTACAATGGTGCCCTAAAATATTGAAACGGTAATTTTTTTTTGTCATGTTCCGTGGTTGGATTGCATGTTTGGGTACTGAAATACTCTCTAATTACGTTCAAACAGTGACAGACTATTATAAGTAAAACAAAAGAAGACTTGTTGTTCTAAAAACTTTCTACAATTGCTCACTTATATAACATTTTTGTCTAATGCACTATCTCTAATTTTTTTTTTGAGAATAATTTTACTAATAAAGTTTTTTATTTGATTTCCAAAAACAGACTTTTTTATTTCTTCACTATTCCACTAACAGTAAAGTTTTATCATTGAAAACTTTTTTTAATGTTTCTGTAAGACTCTCCTATCTTAGCAGGTTCAATAATTCTTTCGATTTCTAAATCCGTAAGTTGTTTAAATGTATTCGTATTAATCCGCTATTTTAAAGATTTTATTTGTATAAATGTTAGCGTTTATACATAAACCTTTTTAATCCTAATTTTTTCACTTCCACATCCATTTTTTTATTGCCTAATTTTATACTTAAAATCGAGAAAAAATGTTAGGGTGTTGTTTTTGCAAAAACAAAAAAATGCATATATATATATAAACACAAATATATATATATATATATATATATATATATATATATATATATATATATATATATATATATATATATATATATATATATAAATTATAAATTAGTAGAAAATTACTTAAATAAATCAACTTTTTTTCATTTTACACTGTTTCATCAACAAAGACTCATCGGAAATGCGTTTCAGATGAGACTTTGGTGATGAAACACAGTGTAAAATGAAAAAAAATTTTGTTAAGTAATTTTCTACTAATTTATAATTGCTCTGTTCTTTCAAGAACATTGAGCACTCTAGAATACCTTTTTTAAAATTGTTTTATATATATATATATATATATATATATATATATATATATATATATATATATATATATATATATATATATATATATATATATATATATATATATGTATAAATAAAATATATATATATATATATATATATATATATATATATATATATATATATATATATATAATAAATATATATTTATATACTTACATACATACATACATACATACATACATATATTCATACATAGATACATATATAAATATATATTTTTTAAATACAAGTATTGAAATGTCTTGTTTTGACTCCTTATTTTATAAATATTTAATATATTACATTATTTTTTACAGCTGGCAAATTTCGAAAGATTTCAAAATAATAAATTTCATACTAAATAACATAATTACATGTGCTTTATTTTATTTTATTTTTTACCATAGATTAAAGTTAAATTATATTACTATTTATTTAATGAAACAAATAATTACTAACTTACTTTCATGTAACACCAAAAATAAAAAATAAAAAGAGAAATATTTTTGAGTAAATTTAAAAAAACCAACTTTGTAAACTGTGTGAAAATTTAAATAATACTTTTTTAAATTAAAATTTAAATATCTGTGCGTAACATATACATATGATTATATATATATGAATATATATGATATTGGATTAATAAAGCTGTTGACACTGATTGCACTGACAACTTTGTTAGGTAGTGTGTTCATTTGGTGAGCAACGCGGTTGTTGAAGAAGTTAAAGCGAACGGTAGATTTGTTGTTGATTTCAATTAAAAGCGTTACTTTTTTAACAAGTAGTAGACGGGTGAAGGCAAAGAAAGAATCATCATGTAACATTTTGTAGAAAATAAGCGGTCTTGCCTCTTCTTGGTTTTGGTCAGTTATCAAATATTTTAGTTTTTTGCATCTTTGCTGTACTCAATATGTGTAATTTCCTGAATTCAATATTTGTGATTCAAAGGACTGTAGATCAGTGGGTGCATTAAACAACACCCCTGAAGCTGAGCTAAATAAATTTTACAGTGACTCATCAAAGTCAGAAGAAGAAACTTTATATAATATTGGAGAATGTTATGTTCAATCTAACTTGGTAATAATCAATACTACCATCTCAATGTGGCCAGTTGTTTTGAGTCAAAAAGACCAAGTTATAATTATTTTAAAGAGACTCCTAGCACGAAAGCAGTAATCAAAAGCAAGTAATTGTCGTTTCTTCGTTTTAATTTAGTAGTTAGAT